CTAACCTCTACAAGAACACCTGGCCAATAAAACTCCCCTAAGACTCTATCACTTGTCTTCCTAATACCAAGATGTCCTGCCAAAAGCGAGTCATGCGCTACTTTTAACACAGTCTCCCTAAGAACCTAAAGAAATACTAACTGCCTACTTACGTCACCATTTCCTGCCGTAAACTCTCTAAACAACATCTTATTCCTGATCTGATACTTCACTTGCCCTTTACCTCTACAGTTTCTAACAGTACCTTCCTCTGCTTTCTTTCTACATCCATCTAATGAACTATCTGCCTGCTGCTTCTCTACAAACTCTACATTAGTGATGTCTAAAATCTGTGAAGGAACTTTAAGTCTTCTATGAGCTTTAACTTTACTCTGCGATCTTGTTTCTACTGCTGAAGCTAACTTACCAAAATTTGGTTCTACAGCACCCTCTATGTTACCGATAATTACATCATTTGTAGGATTATCTACACATAGTGCTTCTACAGTACCCCTGTAATACGGACAATCCAGATCAATTAACGCCATGTCTAATCTGTGCTCACTACCATCAATGTACTTACATCGTCTGGACTTCCCTAACAATTGATTTGCATTTACCAAATTCCTTCGTACTATGACACATGTACACCCAGTATCTCTCATTGCAACTATAGCTTTACCATTACATATACCTCTAGTTGTCGGACATGAATTTTATAGTAACTGTACCCACGTCTTCAAAATCCCCAAGTTCTATCAAACTACTACCACTATCTGATCTCGGCATCGAAATTTTCGAATCTGCATCTCTATTTCTTCCTCTACCTCTACTCCTACCTCTATAACATCCTCGCCTTCTATTACCCTTGATAACTATTATCATTCTTACTTGGATTCATTGAGTTCAGTTCTATGTCTTCCGCTGCGTTAGCTTTATTTGTAGCCTTATTTCTACAGAAAAATGCTGTATGCCCTAAACGACCACAATATGTGCATTTATAACCTTCATACTGATGAGATGCTCTACCTCTATTTACCAGTCTATCGTTACCTCTTTGCATACGATAACTACTACCTTGATTTCTATCTACAGGTCTACTCGGCAGTGCATAAGGCTTAGCTCTTTCTTTAATTCCATGATTCACTACATACTTCGGACCTCCTCTAGTCTTGGCAAACAAATCTGCATCTTCCGCTACTTCACGGGCTGAAAACAACTTCTTACTACTAAGGTTCTGATATAGTTCTCTATTGCAGATATCTAAAAATTGATCCCTTACTATGAAGTCTAACAACTTTTCATAAGTCTTCTCCACCTTACTCAATCTTAACCAACCATCTAAGTATCTAGAAATTCTAGCTAGGAACATAACAAAAGTCTCATTTTCACGGGGCCTTTCAGTCCTAAACTTCTTCTTATACCCATCATCAGTCAACTCAAACTGCCTTAACAAAGCATCTTTCAGCTTATCATAATCCGTCCTATCTTCTAATGGAAGCCTATCAAATACCTCCCTAGCAGTACCTTTTAACAGAAACGGTAAGTTTAGTGACCACATTTCATGTTCCCAATTGAGCAGACGCATAAGTTTCATAAACATTCAAATACGCATCCATAGAATCAATCTTTTCGTCAAATGGAGTCATCTTAACCTTAACCTTACCTACACTCTTCTTACCTAACATATCTAACTCTATCTTCATCTTATATTCTGTATCTAACTTCCTAGCTTCTGCTTCCTCCTTCTCTCTTTCTAACTGACGAGCTATTTCTAACTTCTCTTTGCAACCCTAGCCTCATTACTTAACTTCTCTTTTTCCATTTCTATCACTATTTCTAACTTCCTATTTTCGGCTTCCTCCTTCTCTCTTTCTAACTGACGAGCATAATCTAACTTCTCCCTAGAAATCTTAAACTCATAATCTAACTTCTCTTTCTCATTACTTAACTTCTCTTTTGCTAACCTAGCTTCTAATTCTAACCTATCCTTCTCAGCTTCTAAACGTTCCTTCTCAGCTTCAAAACGTTCCTTCTCAGCTTCTAACCTACTATGTCTTTCTTCACGCTCCCTTGCTTGCTCCTCTTTAACAAAGTTTCTCAAAGCCTCATCAGTATACCCTAACTCCTGACCTACCTTCATCAACTCATTTACACTAGTCATCTTGAACTTATTATGTATATTTCCTACACTGTAACACTACTACAACAACAACTTAGGATACAAGTAAAATCTTACCGTGAGGTAGAACAATGATATCAAAGTATCATTAAAGGGTAACACTACAACCCTTAAACACAAAACGCTATATTCACTAATCACGGTGCACTATAACACTACACTTCAGTGTAACACCATATAATTAAACGCATTTATCACTCTAGCGCTATAAATCACAATGTACCTTCACTGTACACAGTACTAAAATAACACAATGTATCATATATTCTAAACACTATACCTCATCACTACAAACACTAAGTTTCAAACTCATCTAAGTATCTCACTAAGGTTGTATAATAATAATCTTAAGTGTACAGTAGACAGTAGGCAATAATTAAAACTGTTCAAAATACTTTAAACTTCAAAGTCCAAACTACGACCCAAAACTCAATGTCGCGTAGCACTTACCCCACAGTGCAAAAATATAAAAGGTATATGGCCAGTTTCAATATACTACAGACACAAAGTAAACACAAAGTAAAATTGTAAATGACAATAAATTAAATGTTCACCTAGATAACAGACACAGTTTCTTTATCTAGAAAAAGTACACAAGGCGGGTAGTACCTTAAATTGCAGAGTGTATGTGTGTATATATGTACTTCCGGTGTTTTACCGAAAGGTCACTTTCAGATTACAAAACTGGTGGTCTCATCATAAAGTGACACCTAAAAGGAGGAAAATGGAACGAACTCACCCTAAACGTCCAAACGTCCACTGTCGGGTCTGTGTGGCTGTTATAACCTCTCAGCTGGATAGCTGTCACACACACAAGTCCGTTTCATTTGTCACGGTATCAATCTGAAAATGTTAAGAAATTATAATCACACGAAATATAAAAAAAAAGAAAATAATTAAAAGTGATACAAAATTTAACTACCTTTAAGTAAACTAAATTTTTAATTGTAAATAAAACTTTTTACTTAAAATAAAACCAAAGTTTCTAGTGTTAGCTATATAACCTAGCTGTAGTTAAATGAGTGTGGTTTGTTTCAAATAACAACTATAGCCAACCGGTATCCAATCACGTCGAGGTCACCAAATGTCACAATAAGGACTACGATGGGATACCAGGCCGACCACAATTGCTATCTAAAATAACCAACAACTCAGAACAGAAAAATATATACAAATTTATTTACAATAAATGAATATTTATTAATGAAAAATGATTATATATGAAAAGTACTATGATAAGTCACTGCACAAACAAACACTATCAACGTATCTCAGTCTATTTCTCCCGTAAAGTTTCTGTCATGATGTTTCAATAAAGTGGTGGCGTTGTTAAACAAAATTCGTCACAATGGCGGGCGTCTTGTATAAAATCTTATCAAGCGTAACTGTACTTCCTACAGTGTTGGCACAGTTGATAGGATCCTGAACAAGGGCATGCGTCACCCTTTAGCCATGGACATACGTGTGGAGGGCCCGTGTCATCTTCGGGTGTGTCCTCAAATAAGAAGCTACAAAGTATAAAACATGGTAAGTTCCATGATAATCAAGCATAAGGGTATAATAAAGTCCCTTGGAAAAGACTCGACCTTTGTCGGTTTCCTATAAATAACGTGCTTCTTTGAATAAACAAAATGTCCACTATAGTACACCATACATTCCGTGGAACAAAAAATCAATCACATCCGCATAATACTGCGTTGCAAATATATTCAAATATACGCCACATAATAACCACCAATAAATAAACGTCTTCCAAAATCATGCCACTGAAGATCCTTCTCTAGAGATACGTTAGTTTTGATACGTTGTATTTACTTATAACAAAAACTGATGATAAATGAAATGAAGTAAGATGATAACGTAAATTAAATTGATTGAAACAAATCATTACGATACTGCAGCATTTTACATAAAGTTGCACAAATACGGTAGAACCATAATAAATTATTTATGAATAGATATATATATATATAAAATATTCACGGCTCCTATACAATTACAATACAATTAAAACTTCAATTAACATACATCAATTAACATGTCTCGGTATAAATTTGCAATAGCGAAACACTAGAATAAAAAGAGCTTTTAAAATTTAGAAAATTTAGAAAACAATAAATTACTGCCAAATAACTAAACCTGAATCAAATAAACTATAATTCTAATAGAAAATAGTATTTTACGAAATAGCAAAAATTTATGAAACAAAATCACTAGAAAATTAAATTTACCTTGTACAAGCTGTAATTTTATGACAAATATAATTTGTCTGTCACCGTCATAGTGACCTGTATAACGTCCAGTGCATTGCAATATGTCACTTAAAATTTAGTCAATCATAGATATAGCAAACTACTGAGTACTAACCGGGAAAACAGATCGTGCAAAACATGAAAAATCGATTTGCACGAAATAAAGCTGGGACGGCGGGAAAAATAGTTATGTAAAATATAAATGCAATATTTTACAAACGTACTTTCACTTTGTGACAGTAATCACTTCTTACAAGTTACAGCCTTCAAATTTCTAAACAAATATTTCTTCATATGAAGGTAATATGCATGGATGTGGTATTTAAGGTTACTTGGATGATGGTAAATCTAAAAAAAATGAGTTGCTGTTCTTCTTTCATGAATTGATGGGCTTGAGATGAAAGAGATTGTATCATTAATTGAGGTGACTGCTAAGAATAGCCATCATGACTCCCATGTCCTTCATGTTATACATGTATTTTTTGTTATTAATTAAGGTATTTTTCTGATAATAACAATCAGTAGGTTGTTAGTTGCAAAACAACTGATACAATTTTATATCTTATCTTATATCCAATTCATTTCAGCCCAGATGGAGTTAAAATTAGAAGCAAGCCCCACTTATCTCGTTACCTTGGTGAGGCATTTGATTTAAGTTCATTTGACTTTAGGACAGGAAAAATCATCAGTAGTTCTCATAGAAAAAGTAAGCGCCACAAAGGATCATCATATGACTATGCCAGAGGTTTGTGTGTTGTGCTTTTTGTGCATTTGTTCTTCTTATTTATAACCAACTGAAGTATAGAAAATATGCCAAAATGAAGTGTCATTAATAAAAGTCAGATATACTTTATTCTGCATTCATTGTTCATACTTAAAACACTCTTATTTGTCCTATTTTGTAATTTATTAGATAATCATGAAAATATTTAAAGAATTTTTTAAGTTTTCTCTTGAAAGTTCCTTCTTTAGGATGTCATTGATATCATAGAAAGATCTGTTTTATTACCTTATAAAGGTAAGCAGTTTCACTTTTTATAACAGGGATCAAGTAAGTAGTAAGAAATACATGTTTAGTCACAATTACTGTATTATAGTATACCTATTGTATACAATTCACTTTGACAAAAAAGGACAATTTTTTTCTTACATTTTATGAAATCTGACTGGAATTAAATGTAGCCAGTTTAAACTGAACATACATAAGTTTGAAAACAAATTCTTCAAATATATCATAATGCTCCATGTTCATTTTAATTCCAATTAAGCATGTTGGTGTGTAATTAGCAATAAATGATAAAAGATAAAACTAAGAGGCAGCATGATAATGATTAATCATTTGTTGTCCTTTTTATTTGCAGTAATTTTAGAAACATTTCTGCATGGTTCTGCAAATCATTTTTCAGTCATAAGAAACCATTTTTATGCCCCCGCCATAAAATGGCTGGGGAAAATAGTGTTACCCTGTTCCTTCATCATCAGTTTCCATTCATTATCTAAGTAACGGTTGCACATATTCAATTCAAATTTGACATATGGATATATCATGAGAAAAAACAGGTCAAGTTTGAATTTTATCATGGTCGGATGATTTTTGAGTTATGCCCCTTGATGAAATTTTCAGTTTCTGTTCATTATCTCCCAAACAGTTGTACACATTCAACTCAAATTTGACATATGGATAAGTCAAACCAGTGCGCAGGTAGGATTTAGTCAAGGTTCGATGATTTTTGGCAGAGTTATGCCCTTTTCACTTTGAAAAAAGAGAGGAAATTTTCAGTTTCAACTCAAATTTAACATATGGATATGTCATAAGGATACACTGGTCCAATGATAGCTGATAGAGTAATCTCTCTTGAACTTTGAAAAAAAATCTGAAATTTTTAGTTTCCATTCATTATCCCCAATTTGGTTGTACACAATCATTCAACTCAAATTTGACATATAGATACATCTTAGCAATAAGCAGTTCAAGTTTGAATTTGGTCATGGTTCAATGATTTTGGACAAAGTTAGCCCTCTTGAATGTTGGAGAAAAATTTAATTTTCAGTTTCAGCATTCATACTTTTATGGAAGTGTATGTAGTCATTATTCTGGCTACAAATATACAATATGCAATTTACAAAAGGTTAACACTGAATAGATTCAGTGCCTTGAACTTTATATAAAAATGGTTTGTGTTAGCATTGAATAGTTTTAAGGGCTTTGAATTTAAAATGAAAAAAATAGTTTGTGCAAACAAATTTTGAACTAAATATTATAACATTTGAAATTTCGGCTGCATGCGGGGGCATGACGACACATTTCTAGTTTCCCATTAGTATCATGTAGACACTTATTAGAGCTACTGTGCTTATTTGGAACTTTAATGTTCTCTCAAATTTGACTTTTTTTGTGTTCAGTTGTGTGGTTTGCATTAAATTTTATTTGATAAACATTTGCACATTTGTTTTGACTTGCTGTGGTATAGTCAAAGTGTAGTTGCTTAAATAAGAAATTTGTAACTACAATGTATTGTAAATTTACAGATCATAGTAAATAAAAGTATGTCACTTTATAAATGAAATTAATAAGTCAGTCAATTCATAAGGTTCATATAACTTTATCTTATTACACCCTCACAAACAAAGTTTAGGGGGATATAGGAGTCAGTCTGTTGGTCGGTCCACATCATGGTTTCCGGACAATAACTAGAGATTGGAATGAGGTATTGAAATCAAACCTGGTGTATAGCAACCTTATGTAGAAACCCCGGTTGTTATTGCATTTGGACTCCCTGGGGTCAAGGTCACCATTACTAAAAATAGAAAAATGGTTTCGGGACAATAACTAGTGTTAGGTTTGAGATATTGTAATCAAAGTTTATATGATGACCCTGGTTGGTATTGCATTTGGACCCCCTGGGGTCAAGGTCACTGTTACTAAAAGTGAAAAATGGTTTCCAGACAATAACTAGAGTTAGGAATGAGATATTGTAATCAAAATTGGTGTATAGCAAGCTAATATGAAGACCCTGGTTGGTATTGCATTTGGACTCCCTTGGGTCAAGGTCAGAGTTACTAAAAGTACAAAAATGGTTTCCAGACTCTAACTTGAGTTAGGAAAGAGATGTTGTAATCAAAATTGGTGTATAGCAAGCTTATCTGAAGACCCGGTTGGTTTTGCATTTGGATCCCTGGGGTCAAGGTTACCGTTTTTAAAAATAAGAAAATGGTTTCAGAACTCTAACTAGAGTTAGGGATGAGATATTGTTATCTAACATGGTGTATAGCAAGCTTATATGAAGACCCCAGTTGGTATTGCATTTGGACCTCCTGGGGTCAAGGTCACTGTTCATAAAAATAAAAAAATGTTTTCCGGACTAACTTAGAGTTAGAGCTGGTGGGGGTAGTACATGTAATCACCTTCAGTGATAGCTCTAGTTTAATAAAGAATCAGTCATCATAAATCAAAAGTTATTATAGATAATGTAAGATATATTAGAAATGTTACAGTGCCTATTGTATGAAGAATAAGTTTTATTTACATGGATGTTACACTACATTAGTAACATAGCAGAAATGAGAAGTTTTTTTCAAGAACTTTAGAATGTATGTGATTTCATATCTGTTATTGTAAAAGTCTAGCCTGTGAATAAAGACTACACATGTAGCTTTGAAGTAATGAAATTGACACACAAAACAACAATAACTAACTTATTTTAATCTATAATCACAGGTTTCCAGTTTTCCATGTGTGGTTGTTACTTGTATTGAATTGGCTTGTGCACAAAATGAATATTTCATCGATGAACATTCAAGTCAATGTTACAACTTAAAAGTAAAGCATAGCAATCAATGTGATAATCATGTATAATAATGTTATTACTGTAAATTCTAGGGATCAGACAGGACGCCAACCTTGCATTGCCAATTCGTCAGACAGCGTCAATATTTAAACAGCCTGTGACAGTGATCAGGAACCATCCCGACAGTGCAACTAAGTCAGATCTCAAACATGGCCCTCAAGAACCCCCACGACAGGTACAGGTTTTTATGATTTTCCACATACAGTAAACTCCGCTTATAACGAACTCATTGGGACATTCGAAATCTGTTCCTTATATCCGGAGTTCCTTGTAAGCATATAGCGAATAAGTTCCTTGTATCAGAAGTTTTTATAGCGAACAGTTTTACATAAAACGAACTAATTGTTTACCATCGTCCTCCATTTTGAAGAGCATTTGATTAAGAGAAATAACTCTTGGGCCATATATGCAATATTGTTATTTATTAACAATACAGTATCATGCACAAAAATAATCACTTTTCTTTGAAGAAATCGCTAATTTTAATTTAGGAATGTTTACAACTCTTCAGGCTAATTTCAATTTAATCTGTGCTGATGAAAACGAAAGTAGAATATACGTGATCTGTTAACGTATAGCCGATATTTTGGAGTTCGTTATAAAAGTGTAATTTTCTGTACTTTTTATGGCATTGGGACTAAAAAATGAGTTCCTTATAAGCGATAATTCCTTATATCCGTGTTCGCTGTAACCATAATTTTTTACATTAAATAAAGAAGGGCAAAATTCGGGCCAAAAAATTTTGTTCCTTATAACCGGAAGTTCGCTATAACCGTGTTTGCTATATTTGAAGTTTACTGTATATTTGTTGTATACAAGAATAATGTCTATTAAATAGATAATGAATAGTTTGACCTTTACCTTCTAGAATCTTGTGTTTAAATGAATGCTTTGAACTTGAAACTGTTTAAATGTTGTCAGTTAATACACATGTATTTAATTGATTTAAGTGTTAAAGTTTTAAATCTAAGCATCATACTTGGTTCAATACATTAGACATAGTCCTGTTATAAATGACTGGGCATTTTGTTACTGTGAACCACTATGGTCTGCAAGTTGTATTTTCAATTAATTATTTTTTATTTACTTATATTTTAATTAATTCAATTAAAAACTTCAACAATGATGAGTTTATCCCTTTATAAGAATATGATGGGTCAGTTGGTGTATGCTTGGTGAGTGGGTGGGTGGTTGGTCGGGTGGCATACATATTTTTAAAGTTGGTTAATTGGACCTTCAAGAATCTTTCTCTTTAAGCTTATTATTGGTTATGACTCATTTCAATCAGAAGTTGGGTTGTTATTGTTTTTTCCAGTTATTTTGGGAGAAGAGACTTCAGGGCCTTCGAGCGTGTGACAGTACTGAAGAACTTATTCAAAGCTTAGAACTACCTAAAACTGTTCTAGGTAAGTTAAATGTACACATTTATTTTAATGCTTTGTTACAAATAGTAATTTTACATGGCCGCATGTGTTCAAACCCTGTCAAGGGCAAGCTGTTGTTTGCTTGAGCAAGAAATTTTACATTCATTGCTTAGCACTGGTTGGTTCCAGAAACAGATTTGAGAGTATTTCAATAAGCTTATAGCTTTGACATCCAACTAAAATACATTTGTATAAACTAAACTAAGAAGTAATTTCCTAAATTACAGAACATGTTAACAATGTATGCAGGAAGGTTCTGTCTGTTTTAACGATTATTAGGGAAGGAAGGGATATTTTGAAGGACACTTGCAATGCAGGAGATAAGATTGTCTAGAAATGTTATGAAAATGCAGGTTTTTTTCCCCATGATTTTGGGAACATGATACCCATGGAATTGGGAATTTCAGTGATGTTTTGTTAAAAATTGGGAAAAAATGCATGACTTAAATTTTACAATGATGAAATGAATCAATGCAAAAAGTCACTGACTATGATGGCATCTTCAAACATTTAAGCCCTTATTTTGAAAGATTTTAGAATTAATTTTGTTATTCAATATTTTTATATTGTAACTTTAAATTGGGAATTTTTTTCTGCGGATTGGGAAAATAACATACTGTTTTAAGTTGGGAATATGACTGAATATCGGCAATAAAATAAGCCAAAAAATCCCTGAAATGTTGTGTAAAGAACTATTTGCTGAACTAACCCATGACATCTAATCAGTAATCAAAACATCTTAACTACTGTAGATACTTTCTGTCCAGATTATTGTTTTGACTGCACATTAGAGAGTCACAGTTTTGCTCTTTTCGGAAAATGGTGTTTAGTTCTACATGTAATTGAGAATTATATTATGCTATATTTGTTTTGACTGTTGTTTCAGGGATAGGACCAGAGTTGACAACAGAGAATATTCTACAGAGTATATCAGCAGCTCTTCATCTTGGAGCTGTCCCTATCATAGGTCAGCATAGTAACAAGAATCTGGTACAGAAAAATCCAGGTGTTCACATGGATGTTAACCAACCACATATTCAGGTAACTAAAGGCTGCCAGGCATTTGCTATATCAGAGATGAGATGTCTAGGAATGTTGTACCAGTTCTACAATAAATAATCTCAATTTATCATTATGGCTAAAAAACATCTGTTTTTAGTACTTTAAATCTATTTTATAACATGTAATATATGCAATCCTAGCTTGTCATGTGGAAATATTCATGACCCACTCAGTGGTGGCATTGGTTAAACATTTTAACAATTGAACACTAATAAAGCTGTAACAATGTAGTTTAATATATGGATACACCTGAGTTATGTTTTCCAAGCCCATTTTTGGGTCAAAAAGTTTAAGGTCAATGCAAATGTGACCTTTAGTTCAAATTGTCTCTTTATCTTGAAAATTTCCAGGATTTTAGTTAATCTTTGAATGTTAATGTCTACCTTTCATGAGATTACATGCACACATACTTCGACCCAGAATGAGTTACTTATTTAACATCATGATAGCAGTATTAGTGTTGTAAAAACTTATATACATCTTTGAAGCTCTTCTATCTGTATTGATGATCATGTCTTCTTTTTGATTCAGCAACTTATTGTATCAGATGAGGATATTAAGAAACAAGAGTCTAAAGTGAATGAGGCTAGACGTAAACTACAAGAGGTGATGAAAACATGAAGGTATGGTTTCTTAAATAAATTGCTCTAGGTCTTCTGCTCAAAGCTCAAGGTCACACTTGTATGAAAAAGTCATGATTGTGAAAAGATTGTCATATTTTGTGCATATTTTTGTTATAACATAATTTCCAGAGAAGTACAACCTAGAGCTTGCTTGAAATGATAAAGAGAAACAAATAAAAAAAAAACAACAAAACACCAGTGTTATTGAATTCTTGCTAGATCCTGAAACAGATATTAAATTGAATTTTGCATCTTTTAAACTATATATATATATATGTTTGATACTTTAGTTTATGATGAAAAGTAAATTTGTGTTTTGTATTACAGAATCCTAAACAGGCAGATGAGCAAAGTGACGTGATGTGCCACATCAAATTTTGACCTGGTGTAGCTTACCTTTGAGACATAGGGAGATGTGTAATAGTGAACATTTTGTACAGACATATTATGTGAATGTTATACTTGTACATACATCATGATGTCATAAAACATGGTCTCAAACTCATGTCTTCATGTAGAATGATTTGTGAATAGAATGTCACAAGAAAAAAAATTATGGATATAATTACTGATCTAACATCTTTTTTTGAATGTATTTATTTGACCATTTCAAGTTGAGTGTTATATTATGTTAGGTATATTAGTTAGTGGTAAGTAAATATCTGTTAACGTAGTTAAAGTATAATCATAATTATTATTAAAACAAAAAATCTTATAACAACACTACAGTGTTTGTAAAACATAAAAATAAAAGAATGTGAATTGTATTGATATTTTTATGATGATGACATTTACTTGGCTATACTTTGTAATAAATGTGTAAAAAATTTTGTTGTTGTTTTTTTTTATGTAGCATATTGTAGATCTTTGTATAAGTCCCTGACATAGTTTTTGTATAACTCCTTGACATAGCTAAGGTTGCTGACTTCAATCATTTGTCCCCAGCCCACTGCTGCAAGAACAAATCCTGTCCGAGATTTCGGATTCTTATGTGTCAGAAAATTCTCCAGATAGCTGTTGTTGTGCTAGGGGTGACATAGTGCTTGTGTGAGCACATATTCTTTCAGCAACTGGAAAGAAGTCATATGACTTTTATTATTTCAGGCCACTCACTTTCACCATTTTGAAATTACATATCAATAATTATCCAAGTGATTAGAAGTTTTCTTTGAAGAAAATCAATTTGAGTAATAGACTGACACAGAAAATCAATTTGAGTAATAGACTGACACAGAAAATCAATTTGAGTAATAGACTGACACAGAAAATCAATTTGAGTAATAGACTGACACAGAAAATCAATTTGAGTAATAGACTGACACATATATAAATAAGAAAAAAACTTGACTACACCGAGCAAAAGTAAGATTGTATTACATGTTTATTAAGTGTTTTCCTTTTAATTGCCCTAGTATCTGGCCTGCTATAACCATGTAATTACTATTTAAACCTTATCAAGATTCAAATTTTAGTACACTACACTGTAAAAGTGTTTCCTTGACCACAATGTCCAACTCTAAAATACTGTAACTGATCTGAAAAAGTATGAATAGAATTGTGTTGACCATGCCGACTATTTTTGACAAGATGTCTTAATAAACTTATTTGATAGAGTTTGGTTTTCACTTGGAATTTATCAAGGGAGGTAATTAAAATTACTTTTCTTTGGTTTAATATTTACTTTTTTAATTGACCCAGTCCTTGACTAAATTCTGTAGAAACACTCTTTGGTTAGCTCTAATTTTAACACCAAATCTTAAGTACGTCTTATAAATATTACATTTGTTACTTAAATTAGTATTAAAATATCTTTTTGTTCAATATTTTCGTTGGGTTAGTGAAGCTCTTTTCTTTTTGTCCAATAGAATTCTTTGAAAACATTTAGCTCATGAAATCGGAAGTGAAATGTTAACAAGGAAGAAATTTTGTAAACACAGGAAACGTGTTTAATTATTTTCAATTGTCTTTTGCTAAGTAGCTTAAAATTAGATTGTAATGTAAATACTACTTGATAATTACGGATCTTAAACTTTGTTCTCACGTCAGGAAGTGAAAGATGAGTGCAATGTATTCAAGGGCCTTTGATCATATCACAGATACACAAAATGAAATTGAAAATGACTCGGATTACACGTATCAGGACCCTGAGGTATATCGTTGTTGTTACGTTAATTCTACGTTTTTGAAATATGTAAAAGGTCGTTTTTATTTAAAGAAAGTGTAAGCTTTTTTTGTGTGTTTAATAACACTTAATTAAAGGTAGAGTTAATTATATCCTGATCCAGTAAAATTTTGTTATTTCACTAGATCTACACCCTAAAAAATTATACTACTGGCATGCAAGAAGTTCCCGAACGCAAAATTTTAGTAACTTAAATGCTATTTTTTACTATGCTGACCCACCATAAAATTGATTGTTGCACATCAATATATGGAAATTCCATTATGTTCTTAAAAAAGTGCAGCATAATCAGGGTCCACAGGAAGAGGAACCCCATCATATACCTGTACTCCTTGAAGGGCCACACACTCGAGAAAAACTTGACAACCAAGTACCTAAGAGTCCATATGTCTGGAAACCTCTCCTGGAACCAACACGTTGACAAAATTGTGAGGATGGGCAACAGCACACTCGGCTTCCTTCGACGCAACCTGCACATCAGCAATGAACAGGTAAAGAGCACAGCCTACATGTTACTCCTGCGACCAGGTCTTGAATATTGCTCCACCGTCTGGAACCCTTACACCAAGGACCTTACTCGTAAGCTCGAGATGGTCCAGAGTAGAGCTGCAAGATGTGACAAACCGTTACAACACCAGCAGCGTATCCTCCATGATTCAACACTTGGGGTGGGAGACATTAGTCACGACGGACCAAAGCCCAGCTGACCATGATGTTCAAGATCACCAATGACATACCAGTTAGCGATTACCTCACCCCAGCCCCAAGTTGCACTAGAAGTGACCACTCCAAGAAGTTCAATCAACCATCCACATCTACATCATACTACAAGAACTCCTTCTTCCCTCGTACAGCCACAGCCTGGAACAGCCTACCTGCCCTGTTGCAGAGGCCCTTAACTTGGTATCCTTCAAGCAGGGGTTATTATCCCTCACATTCTAATCCGCCATTAGGGGCCCAGCTACAAGTACCCACTAGTGATACCCAAGGCTGTGCCGGCCGCCGCCACCGTAACCGGAGAGGTTTGGGTTGAAGAGGCAAAAATGTAGCTGGCCAAACTTTTTGTCTACATTTTCTTCTTTTGAACTATCCAACCTCTTCTAACTTTCTATCATTTCACGTATATTTCTTTTTCTTGACCTAGCACCACCCGTGGCGTTATAATCAAGTGTGATTGCGCCGACATACGATGTAGATGTAGAATGACACAGTGTGAGAAAAATGTGCAGCCTGATTGGGACTCGAACCCGGGACCCTTGAAATACCGTACCACGGCTATACCGACTGAGCTATATGGCTGCTTACACATCTTCTCCCTATATATAGTGAACAATTCTGAACTGTGATATTAACATAGACCTTAGTTATGAGGCTTGATATCGGGTACTGCCCACTTATCTTCTGACTTCACACAGGTGGTAATATGGTTAAGCCAGGCAAAGAAGTCTCATGGTATTTCTGGCACCACTTCCATTTTTAATTGGAACAGCTTGAGGATTATTCTTTAGCCAAAAAGTTATGATTGTTTTCAGAGTCTTGTTTGTAAGCTATCCAGCTAGCTTTCAGGACTTTGGTTGGTCTACTCAGATGCCTGCTCTAAGCTATCCAACTTAGAATGATCCAGCTAGCTAAAAAAAATAGTAACAGGACATTGGTTGTTCTACTAAGGTGCCTGCTGTTGCTTAACATAATGCACAGAGAGGCACTAGTAAATATGGCAAGTTGCCTAGCCCTTTAAAGTGTTGTCAACAAAACAAACTATATGAGTCAGACAACCAATTAATTTCACTCTTAAACAATGCTTTGAGTGTGACAGATACTGATAGAGCTGTAAGTCCTGTAAGTTATAGAGATCAATTTTTATGCACCCACAAAGTGGGGAGCATATAGCGTTACACTTGTCTGTCCGTACGTCCGTCTGTCCGTACATCCCCAAATCTTGTGAACGCAACTCCTCTTAAACCGGATGGCAGATTTTGCTTAAACTTCCAGGGATGAACAACCTTAATGTGTAGATGGTAGTAAAGGATGGAATTTTTGCTGCGACCAAATTTAACAGAATTATGGTCCTTTGTTGAATTTTTCACTATATACTATGTAGAAATTTTGTGAACGCAACTCCCCTTAAACCAGATGGCAGATTTTGCATAACTTCCAGGTATGAACAACCTTAATGTGTAGATGGTAGTAAAGGATGGAATTTTTGCTGCGACCAAATTTAACAGAATTATGGCCCTTTGTTGATTTTTTCACTATATACCATATAGAAATTTTGTGAACACCAACTCCTCTTAAAGTAAGTTAAACCGGATGGCAGATTTTGCTTAAACTTCCAGGGATGAACAACCTTAATGTGTACATGGAAGTAAAGGAAGGAATTTTTGCTGCGACCAAATTTAACAGAATTATGGCCCTTTGTTAATTTTTTCACTATATACCATATAGAAATTTTGTGAACACAACTCCTCTTAAATTGGATGGCAGATTTTACTTAAACTTCCAGGGATGGACAGCTACTTCCAGGGATGGACAGCTTCAATGTGTAGATGGTAGTAAAGGAAGGAATTTTTGTTGTGACCAAATTTTACAGAATTATGGCCCTTTGTTGATTTTTTCACTATATACCATATAAATAATTGAACATATAAATTTTACATTTCAGTTTGTAATTTAATTTAACATGTACGTAAGGTTACCTGTAGATCATTTTAGATATATGTACAGAAATGAAACAGTGGAATGAAAAAGTTCTACATAAAAATCTTACATACAGATATGCATGCTCTTGTTTACGAGCACATCTGCACAGTGGGGGCATCAGTGTCCTTTGGACACAGTTCCAGTTGATTTTCTTCTAACACAACTTACCATCATACATGTGTTTTTTCTGTTTTAGCAAAAAATGAGATTTAACTGTAAATCACTCCCAAAGAAATTATTGCTAAATACAATATGCTTAGCGCGGATTTGTCTTTTTGGCGATACCACCGTGGACGATTCTTTTCTATCGTGGACAATTACGATGGAGGTCTTTGTGATTTATATTACTACTCATTTAAACTTAACCCGTGCAGTATTTTACATCAATGCACTCAGAGTAATTATTATATCTATTTCCTAAACAATGATTTTATTAGCTCGACTTTTCTATGAAAAGGGGAGCTATCCTACTCGCCCCGGCGTCGGCGTCGGCGTCACACCTTGGTTAAGTTTTTCGTACCACCCCACTTTATTTCAGAAGTATTACAAGTATGGCTTTGAAACTTACCATACTTGTTCACCATCATAACCTCCATCTACAGACAAGAGTACATAACTCTGTCAAGGTTTTTGACAGAATTATGGCCCTTTTTTGACTTAGAAAGTGTATTGAGCTTGGTTAAGTTTTTTGTACCACCTCACTTTATTTCAAAACCATTGGAGGTATTGCTTTGAAACTGACCATACTTGTTTACCATCACGACCTTCATCAACAGACAAGAGGACATAACTCTGTCAAGGTTTTTGACAGAATTATGCCCCTTTTTGACTTAGAAAATACATTGAATATGGGTAAAATCCACTTATTGCCTTAACCCTTTGAGATATTGCTTTGAAACTTTTAATGCTATTTCACATCATTACCCCCATCTGTACGCAAGAGAAGG